TATCCCTTCTTTTTTTTAAAATTCAATTAATTTATTTTTATTAAAAGCCCTATAGTTATTAAATGATGTCTACCTTATAAATTCGTACGAATATATATAAATAAAGATACTAACTTTTTAATTTCCAATCGTAATAATAAAAATAAAAAAATTTTTGGTCCAAACTAATTTTTTGAATTTTTCAAAGGTTATTTTACTACTCTTGAATAAAGAGTTGAGACAAAATTTCTAAGCCCACAATCGAACAGAGCACGAACTGATAATTTTTGACTCGTCGGGCATACTTTCTAGTGGGTCAAGTATGAACAGCATATCTTGTTGAAAAATCTTTCGATCACTCAATTTCCATATCAATAAACATCTACTGATTATTAGAATGAAACAATTCAATATCAAGTTAAATCAAATAATAATATCAATATTTATCGTATCAAAATTGTTCCAATTGATATTTAATATAAAGATTAAAATTTTTTTTTCTTTTTTTGTCGAAAGAGAAAAGTCTCTATATTTTATGGATCTAATTTACTAACAGATACATTAAGAGAATGTCGAATTAAAACTAATCGAGGGTGTGGGTGTGGGTGTTAGTAAAGAGAGAAATCATACCCACACCCACCCACACCTCAGACCCACACCTCAGACCCATCATTTCAGCACTATATGCACCAGTAAATTTAATTTCAAAATTTTTGTATCAACTTCTATCACCTATCTATCTACGAGTGGGTCATGAAACAACTGTGATTAATAGTATTGATCTTGTTCGTAAATTAGAAAAATATACAGCCGATGGCTATCTCAAATCGACAACAAAGTTTATTACGGCGGATATCGAAAATCTTTAAACAATGATACCAAGAGAAGGTGGTATTCATACATTATTAAGATTTTTAGAAAAATATACAAAACATGGCAAGATAGGCCCATTTAATATAGATATGATAATGAAAATAGCTTGTCTCATTTTGGACACTAATTATTTTGCATATATAAATAAATACTATGAACAGAAACGTGGTGGAGCTGTGGGCTCTGCATTTACTCAAGTATATGCTAACATATTAGCGGCGGCGCCAGGAGTTTTTACTAGGGTGGGCTTAGCCCCCTCTAGCTCAAATGTGGGTGGGCTCACTGTAATTGAGCTCACCCTGGAAGCCATCTTTTGCTGCAACTTACAAATATTAAGGGTGGGCTGAAGGAATTTTAGGGTGGGCTCAGCCCACCTCCGCCCACCTGTGGCGCCGCCACTATAACATATATATGTTAGAATGGAAACAAAACTTAATTAACCACCAAACTTTGAAACATGAAATCTATGGAAGGTTAGTGCAACATTGCCAATATCAATATTATTTTTCTCTCTTCAGGTATATTGACGATACTTTTATGACTACGAATGAACCATATGATGTAATTACAGCTGTACTTCAACAAGCACAAAATCGCAATGTCAATATTAAAATAAATCCAACTATTAGTAATTCTGTTAATTTTCTCGATATAACTATCACAAATATGAATGGACAATTAAGAACATCGATCTATCATAAGCCCACAGCAGATCCTTATTACTTACCATACAAGTCAGATCATCCACATAGTATTCATCGCAATATACTATATATTGCCTTAGTACGTGCAGCACGTCTTTGTTCAAACCTACATGATTTTCATAGAGAACGTTTAAGAATTCATGTATCCCTATTATTAAATAATTATCAGCCACATTTTATATCAAATCATTTTCAACGATTCTTTCAAGTACATAAAGCCGCTGTTCTCTATAAATACTTTGATGAAAACATCTGTTCTCAATTACATCTACAACTACTGTATCAAACTTCAATGCGTGAATTCGAAGAACAAGCAATACAAAAAGATCCTGTTCTATTTCTACCAGCATTACCATAACGACCATAGAATAAAAGCCTAATGTATATTAGACATCGATACGAAAGTGGACATATCTCGAAATTTACGCGAGAATTTCGCAGATGATGGAAAAAACATTATCAATGCCCAGGATGAGAAGCAAACCGAATACATCTTCAACTTATTCCTATAACAAATCGAACATTACAAAATTACCTTATACGAAAAAAGTCAAGCAAAAGTATACTCATCAAAACGGAAACAAAAACAGAACAATTCATCTAAAACAAATATTTCCACGTATAATCCTTCAACATTTTGTGTCGCATTTCCTATTGAAAACTTCTAAATAGAATAAAATAAATATAGGCATAAGCCGATCATTTCATAAAATAAAACTGAATAGATTAAAATAAACTTTCTTATATTTCGAATAAATCAGTTACTGTGAATAATTATGGCACAGCTATACAATCAGGCAACCACTCATCCAGGAGAATGTCAAACACCAGAAAAGTGATTGAAAGCAGGTAAGCTTATTCCTTTCGACTTCGAATTATTTTTACAATCCTTGAAAATTCCATTAACATAGAGCCAATACGTCGCTCTCACCATAGTAGTGTACACATACAAGATCGGTCAATTCAAGAGACACGGATAACGATTCCTACACATAGCTTAAATTCATATAGGATACTTATAATCCACTGTGATGTTTTGAATTTCAATTCTTGAGTTCTAAATTATGATATCTTATGAAACTCACCATTTCTAAGATTACTGCGATACTTATGAATATATTAGCTCAACATTAGAATGCTGTTGAGAGTCTATACTTTGACTCGTATAACTTTCTATTGAATTTGAGAAAATATATTTGATGCAGAATACATTCAATTCCAAATTTATTTGATGATGGCCCTTAAGCAGGGCCTAAACGATCGTCGTAAGTAGTTTGGAATTATCTTATGAAACTTACCCTCACCCCTACTTTCTTGGAATTGTAATTCTTTGAACTTATTTCACATCACCATGGAAAAGAATTAACATAAATAACATCAACAAGTATTTCTACTAAATCAATATTTTACGAGATCTAGAAGACATTCAAAAGCAATTTTGAAAAACTATTAATTTTATGGTAATTTGTCTCACTCTCTATATTTATTGTGTGGGGATCTATATTTTTATATAGATCTTCTTATAAATTGAGTTTTCTTGATGTTTTTTCATTTTTATTTGGAAATCATCATTTCATTTTACTTTAAGCTGTTTGATAATTCTGTTATCGAAAATAACTTTGAAAAACTATTAGTTTTATGGTAATTTGTCTCACCCACCCTCAAAAGAATAGAACAAAAATTAGAGAACAATAAACGTTTGTCACGTGATTGTATATAATTTCATGGTTAATTGTTTCATGATTAATGAATAAATCAATTCACTATATGTATAATGTTTTAAGTGGTGTTCGAATTAATAACTGTCCACTGCCCGATTGGCTACGCATTTACCTGCGTCGTCTCGGACGATCTTCATAATCATCATCGTCGTCATCATCGTCGTCATTATTGTCGTCACTATCATCTTCATATTTAACTACAAATGACAAAAAATTACTACAAAGATCATTTCACTCATCTCTAAATGCTTTGTTCACGATAAAAAAAAAGATAAAAAAATCACGGTTTTTGAACGGATTTTATACTTTGATGGAACGAACAAGAAGTCACGCACCCGTAAACACAATTAGATGGCAATGACATAACATAAGATTTGGTAATTCGGTGCGAAACAGATGTTTTCCCTATATTCTTTGAAAGTTTTCGACATATTAGAAAGTCTGAGACCTTCACATGCGAAATACGTATTATTGCAATTCAATGCGGAATTTTTGGCGATATCAGAACGAGTTATGTCAATATGGAAGTTTAGGTGACAAAACTAGGATTTCAAATTCTGAAATAGCCGTTTTGCCAAAAGTTAAATTTGCGTTCAAAAAACGGAAAACTCCTCATTTTGTAGCTTAGTTTCGAATAGAGGTGCGTAGAATGCGACTAATCCACATCTTATATCCCACCCTACGAAAATTTTCACATGCTTAACCAATATTATCCTACGGGTCCGTATCTTAAGCCGATCCTAGAGAATCGCATTCTGTATCCTTTCCCACTGCAAAAAATTTTTCCACAATTTTCAACAAGATTCGGTAAGACTCTTTTAACTAACCGACAACCTATCACTGAAGGCGAAAGGAAAAATTTTTCGAAGGGAAATCTGTTTAAAAAATCCGCGTTTCACAATCTTTTCTTCTCTCAGTCTTAGACTATAAATTCCTTAAAAAATCTTAACAACCTTATCCTATCCTAACCTACGGGTTCGTTATAATAATTCTATCCTATTTCTCATTAGGAAATAGGATAATATAGGACAGGATAGGATAGGATAGGATAGGATTAGAATCTCCCATAGCGTCAAACTTGAAAGTTGAACTCAACTTTTCAACTTTGAAACTTCAATTGTTCAAGTATTCAACTTTGAAACTTCAATTGTTCAAGTATTCAACTTTAAAAAACTTTCCACCCTTGCCTAATCAATCTGTGTTCGATCCTTCATCCTCATCTCGCCGCTGCCCTTCGCGTCCGACTTTTCGCCTTCAAGAAATTTCAATAGTTGAAAACTTGAAACCTTGCAAAGTTCAACTGTTTCATTTGAAAAGTTGAATTCAACTTCCAACTTTGACATGTATGAGGATCTCCTGCATACTTCTACTTTCGAACGAAAAATTTCATTGGATTGTTTAAAAGCACTATTTTAAAGTTAGATAGAACTGCTGATTGTTTTATGAAAGTGGCGTTCTTCAGTTATAGTTGAGATGCCGTCAGTTTTTCAGTTTAGCTTTTTCCTCCACAAGGGTAAGATATAGAACATTTTTACGGTTATCTTTGTTATGTTATCAGTGTTCAATGAGAAAGTAGAACGTGTGTAAAAAGATCAACTCAACGAGCCAACTGATAAAGTTTGTTTAGATTTAATTTGAGATTTTGCTAAAAATAAGATAGATGGGGTGACAGAAGCTTTATGTGCATATATGAAATAACGTACCGTCTAACTCGGCACATATTTGCCGAAGTAATAGCACTTATAACAGTTAGCATGATTTTTACCGTACGAACTTTCGCCATAAGCTTTCAACTATAGTTGAAAAGGTATTCAGTTACTTCAGACACCGCTCTCACCCTCACGTGGTGCCGTGTGTGCGTATTAATGATGTCAGTTAGCAAATAAACTAGTTTTAAAGTGAAAAAAACTGCACTTGAAACTGTACTGCGAAAGTCATTACGGCGAAATTCATGTTTCCCCTTATAACAGTATCGCTACTGAGTTGCGTCTCCTTGTACACAGACTGATCGAAAAATAAGACTCACCTTCAACATTATTGTTGGCAAGATAAATTTGAGGATTGGTCAAGTTAGAATTTAACCAGGGTTGTTGCCGTAAATCGGCTGCCTCCCTATTAACATCGCCAGTGACACATGAGAACATTTTTACAATCGATAAGTCTCGTTTTGTAATATGTCGCAGAAGACAAGTTGTCCAGATACTATTTCTTGCACCTCCACGTTCCCATGATGACTCTCCCTGTGCACAAGGAAAAGCAATGACACAATTGGAACGTCTTGGTATGTTGATGTTCCGCAAATCATTTAATTCTTGCCGTCCGTTACGAGCACGGGCACGAGCATCGCACACTACTGTTGCGCGACAGCAGTCCAGAAGGACTAATGTCAGAAATGGGCTCCGCCTTGAGATTTCGTCGACGAAACCCTGTATATTCAGGGCATGCGAATCACCACCACAAGGATTGTCCAATCTGTCATCGCGTGGAAGTATATAATTGCGACCCTACACACAAAAACACAGTAAACTTAATTGGTGATCTTCTTAATTTGAAAGTTTAATAAAGTGAATCGAAACAAAATCGAGAATCCATAGGAAAAACTCTAGAAAACATTGGTTTTCGCGAAAAGTTCAACGTTTTCATGGAGGTCGTGATATTCTCATTTCAGATAAGCGACTACACGTTAAAAAACTTGCCTAAAAACTACGGCAACCAATCACTACAAGGTTTCCATAAAAAGAATTATTTCGTAAAAAAAATGTGAGGTAACGCAAACGTTATTGAAAGGCAAATTTTTTCATCGCTTTTCGCTATCGCAACCATCAGTTACAGAGATTTTATTGAATATCTGATTTTTTTTATGAAGTTATATGAGGTGTCGTTTGACAACTTTTGAATAAACTTAAATTATTGATTACGTTGGATGTTGTTTATCTATCAGAACATTAACTAGTTTTCTTATTCTAAAGTTTGAGTTTAAAAAAAATTCTTGATAATTTCAAAGAACGGTGTACAAGAAAGTTCAGTTTTTTTGTCATAAACTGAGCTCTAGGTCGCAGTTTAGCTGTCACAAAAAATTGATCCATCGACCAGTTCTTTTTCATTCACTTCCCTTTGTCAATTAAATTAAATTGAATCGAATCCGAGGAAGCTGCATAAAGGAAAACTTCCATGAAAAAGTAAAATCCTTTGATTTACAAGATAAGTAGCCAAGGAAATAAATTCCAATTTTTTATCACACGTATGCCGATCGATAAGGTATATAGAGATGTAAAAAAGCCCAAAACAGTTGGATTCTATTGCGATCTTTTCAGAAATTACGACCGTTTTTATAAGGTTTTTTCTTCGAGTCAAAAACGTGGTTAGTCGAATATAAATCTATAAACTTCATACAAAGGAAAGGACGCTCAAACTTTCACATAAAGTAACAACGCGTAATTGACTACTTATCCTAAGAATTTTAGCCTGCTAGCGTTTTCTTTCTACTAGAAAATAAGAGATCTGTTTTCTTTTAGGTTTTTAACAGTAAAAGGTATTTTATTACCCGTGTATAACTGTTTTGATTGCCGCTCAAAACAATTCAAAATTTTATATTGAACTTACTGCACAACTTCAAACGTCTTGAGTGTATCAAAAG